TACTAAAATTTCATTCATTAAAAGCTTTTTGGAAAATTCTTTCGTCCATCTAATCAAACTTCTTCCTATCTTTTTTTTTTTACCTTCCTTTTATCCTGCCGTACCATTCTGTGTATTCCAATCTTTTGGTAAACACTGTCACTTACTAGTACCTATTGTATAAACACATATCATGTATATCATTTAATGTTGTTTACACTAATAATAATAATAACATATATTTCATTATTGCATAACTTTCATTCTTTCTAAAATTTCCATTATTTTAATTGTAGAGAATTAATTTTGAAATTTTTGATTAAAGAAAATTTTGAAAGGAATTTTTTGATGAATGTTGAAATAAATTTTTAAAAGAGAAAAAGAAAGAACAAATAATTTAAAGCAATTAAAAGTAATTTAAATTGTTCTTTTTTTTTAAATTAAAAATTTTTAAACTAATCGTTTACAACCAAACTAACCTTTCAACATCAAACGCTTTCAATTCAATGACAGCTTCAGCAGTTTTTTCATTAAAATAGATAACATTGGATTCGTATTGTTCGGTAACATTACTGAGGAAACCAAATGATTCATTGCTATTGCATAATTCACTCACCAAAAAATATACCGTATGCGGGAAATTTACGTTAATCTAAAAAATTTTAATTTCTTCATTTTTACCGTTAAATCTTAAATTTTTCATTTTACAAAAAATAAAACAAAATTGTATGAAAATTCCAAAAAATTTTCTGCACATTTTTCTATTAGACATGAGATAAATTAATTTTCAAAAAATATTTTTGAATTAGATTGACTGTAAATAAAATTAAATTCGAAATGGATTTTGAATTAGATTGACTGTAAATAAAATTAAATTCAAAATGGATACATTGTTAATTACAAGATATTATAATGATGTAAATGATATAAAAAACAAATGAAAAATTGTGGACTAAAAAAAATCCACCAAATAAAACAATTAAACAAACACGAAAAGATAAACAAACACTAATATTTCCAATTCCACCATCAAGTAAGCGTTCAATCGACCAATTATGATCACCGTAATCCACATAATCTCTTGGCGTATTTTCTGGATGAAACAATTGAACACGCCAACCGCAACGGCTAAGTTTTGTAAGTACCGGACCATAAGCTGCTGAGGCACCTGATGAAATTTTAGCAAAATATAAATCATAATACAAATTTCATATTTCTTTTTTATTATTTCCCGAAAATTTCATTTCAATTTCATCAATGCACCTGAATTTCACCTTGCTTTGTTAAATTTTAATTTCATTTGAAGTGCAAAATTTTCGTCGTTTTTTTTTACAATTAAATTTTATTCATTTTTCTTTCAAGATTTTAATTGGTAATCATTTGTGATTCTGTAATAGAAATAAATTCCTACCATTTATTAATTCAAGTTGATTGAAGTGTTCAAATTAATCGTTAAATTTGTATATTTAAAATAATGAAAATAATTATTAAAAAATTTTTCTCCATTTCAAAAAAAAGCTTACCAGAGATAAGAACAACAACACCTGGATCATAATCAACATGAAAACGATGTAACTTTTTGCAGATACCCCAAGAAGATTCATGTAATTCGATGTGGTGTATATCCACATTCTATATCATACAATTTTCTTTCAATCAAATATTTAATTGAATTATTAAAATTTCAAATTTATTTACGTTGAAATTATTCCGTAAAATTATTTAAATATTTTAAAAATTTCTGAATACTTCGAAATTTTATTATTCAAATAAAATTATTACAACTTACGATGTATCACATCTTATGGATAAATCATTCTAGTTTATAAACTGAACTGTTTAACAGTTTCAATTTTTTTCAATCCCTTTTCTTTCCCCTAACCTCCATTTATATATTCTTTTCCCTAACCTTTATATATAATTGGTATTTTCCCCGCTGATGGATAAAGTAATATATCATATCAAATACTACGACATTTGTCAACATTTACTGATCGTTATTTCCCCAACTGCCAAACTATATTATTCTTTTAATTTGTATAAATAAATATTTTCAAATTTTTATAAATTTTACACACTTTAGGTATTTCACAGACATCAAATCTGTTTCATTATCATGACAGGAATAAAATTTCATTCAATTAAATTTAATTGTAATTGCATTCTTTCTTTTCCACTAAATCACATATATTAAATCGGAACGAAATTTGATGCAAAAGATATATTTGTAATAATCGAGAAGTAATTAATTTCATCATATAAATCAATTTCAATTCCAATAGTAATTAAATATTCATATGATACACGTTTGTTTGATGGTAGAATAAAAGAAAAATCCATTCCTACTGCGATAACAATCCTAACGATTCATTTTTCACATATTGGAAATGATATACAAAAAAAAAATTATATTCACGTGAAACTAAATTTCAAGATAAATCAGAAAGTGAATTCGTAAATACACAAACCGAAGATTTCGCTAATTCACGTGTTACGGCAAGTGGCGTGAAACGTGCATCACAATAAACCAGAAAAGCACATTCACGTGGATGATGTTTTTCCAAACTTTCTACAACTGCGGAACGAATCTAAAAATTAATAAATAAAATTCAAATTTTTTAAAAAGTAAAGCTTAAATTTTGAAAAGTTATTCAAAAGTTATATGAAATTATTATTGGAAAAACAAAATTTAAGTTATGTGCAAAACTGATTAGATTATCAATCAATATACTACCTATCATTCCATATCTTAAATGATAAGAGTTTGCTGCTTCTTTTTCCATTTTTTGTTTTTGTTTTAAAAATGATTATTATTTAGAAAATTTAGGAATTATAACTATCCAGAAGAATTGTTGGAGCAAAAAGTTCTTTTTCAATGAAAAACAAAGCTGCCTTTTCAGGGAAAAACAATTTTCGGTTTGGTTGGATTGCATAAAATGATAGTATCATAATGTGACACGAAATAACATATAGTTAAACTACATCCATAAATTAATACATATGAATTTCATATAAGTGAATATATGTAAATTTAAATTAAAAACTAAATATCGATATTTCATTTCTGCTAAGTTAATTATGGTGAAAAAGAAAATTGCTATTATATTATATAATGCACAATGAATTTGAGATAAATAAATTAGCATAAATGAATTAATTTAAATTGAATAAATAATTAATTGTTATTGGATTTTTAACAATATATAGTAAATTCATTGCATTTTTTCGAGGAAAAATTTAATATAAAATGCTTTAATGTATAAAATAAATTTATAATAATGAAATTAAGAAAATTAGCATAAAACTTAAAAAAACTTTGCATAATTAACATCACATTGAATACTAAATTAAAATATGCGTTTGATTTCAAAATTTTATATTAAATCACTAACTTTGCTGATAAATAAACTGATTTTATCAATTGGTACTTGAACGGATGTCCAATCCCATACAATAACAATAGCTTTTTCTTGAAGCTCATGTGCTATTTTATCCATTGTTTGAAATTTCTTTAATTTATAATTTCAAGTATAATTCCAACTGATTTTATTTATTCTATTTTTAATTTCCGACTTCAACTTGATCCGGAAAGTTCAAACCAAAAAATTCAATGCATAAGAATTTACATTATTCATTTTGATATATTTCTTTCGCATAAAATTCCTTTTATGACATTAATTAATTAAAATTAGTAATTAAATTTCTCTTTAATTGAAAATCAGAAATCATATTCGTAGTTTGACTATTTCCATTTTCTAATTCTAGCAAACTTACTTTAACTTTTTTGATAACCAAAATCTCAATCAAAACAGCTTATCGGATACACGACCGCTTCTTGTAAATGCAAAAAATATTAAAGATGACAATTTTGTTGAAAAGAAATTATATTATATTTCTCGGTATTTCTCGGCAATATGCAAATTTCTATGAGATTTTGCTGTTATCATTCTTTTATGAGAGAAATCAATGAAAATCTATCATGAATCTCCATGGAACTTCGCTTTTATTCTTTCGCAATATTCATATCAAAAATATTTCCACCTAATGAGAGTTCCAGTTTGGCGACAATGGTTATCATTCATTTCTTTACTAAACCAAATACAGTACCAAGAAGTTTGTTGAAAGTTTAATATATTAACGATGTTCGATATGCAAACTCGAGTTTATTATTTCATGAATAATTCCCGAAACAGAGCGTATTCAAAACAAAATGTTAAAAAAAACGGTATTATTTCCAAAAAGAGTGAAAACAAGTTTAACGTTTTTTATGAGAGTTTAGATATTTAAAACCAATTAATATCGCTAATTTTAATTATTTTTTTTACAAGGCTTCTTGAAATAGTCCCAGCAATATTTGCAATATAATAGAGTTATTAATTGAGGTTGGAAAGAAAAGTCTCACCAACAAATCAGACTTCCCTTTATATTTTAGATATGACAGCAAAATAAATGAGACAAAATCTGACTTACTGCTTCGAGAATTCGCTAAATTTTTACAAAGGGATTTCGCAGTTTTTAAGATACAGCATAACAATTCTTAAGCATCATATCGACAACACAGCAGTAATTAAAACAACGAAATAAAACAAACCACAGCACTAACAAAAAACAATGAATCGAAATCAGAGTAGGAGATTTCATCAATTCCGGAAGTGGTGGAAAGTAGATCTTTCAATTTCAATACACTTAAATATCACAAGAATTTTCCAAACCAAATCAATTTGTAGCGTGAGTCATGTTTTGATATCTGGAATGAAATACTTAATATGTAAAATAAATGCATGAAAATTAAATAAAAATAAATCTCTTTTTATCACTCAAGCATATCTTCACAAGCTGAGATTCGAAATGTTTTGGGGAACGGAAAACATGTTTTGCAGTTCAGGAACTTCGCAGCCCAAATTATTAGTTAACAGAAACCGATAAACAATTAAGATAATAATTGCACAATATCAAGAATAATTTGCCACTACAATGACCAGTAAGAAAAATAAAACAAACATGTATTTTCGAGACAAAAATTAATGATCGGAACCTTTTTGCACAGCGCATGGAAAGTGATAATACTTGCCGCGATTTTCAATTGCTGCACCCTCTTTATTGCATACTGCACAATGCTGTAAAAATTTTATTATTTTATTATCCTCGTAAAAGGAAAAAAAAGAGACATAAAGAAACATAAGATAGAAGGTAACATAGTTTGTCCCTCCATTTGATTCTTGCGAATCAAAAATAATTAAAAGGAGCTAATCTACATTAAGTCCAAAAAAATTGATGGTGATGTCCATGATCGAAAATACGCAACTCATATTTAATTAACATCATTTCTCTTAATCTGAATTTAATATAGAAATTTTTTCAAACGGATAAATTCCGAACCTGTGTCCAAAAAGTATTGATTTTCGTTTCCAGCCCCTCAAGTTGATTGCCAACCAGATATATGCCAGGTGCTGTTACAGCACACGGACCATGAAGCCAGATGTCGCAGTATATCTCTGTCTGAAAAAAGAGAGAAAGAAGTTTGAAAATGATGGAGGTTAAAATTGAAAATAAGTAAGATGATTAAAATAGATTTTCTCTCTATCTATGCAGTGCCACAACTCATTCGTCCATTGTTTGTTTTAGGATACTCGTCAATGCCTATAATGAATATCAAACAAGTAGAAAGTTAAAAGTACTTAGTACCTCAATAATGCATACATCATTCATCAAATGGCAGTCAACAGAACACAATCATGAAACAAAATAAGAAGAAATAACGAAAATACGGAGAATTTAATAGAACACATACAAAAGGAATAAAACATTTGAACATCTTTGTTAATCCATTTCCAAAAAAGAACCAGAAAAATTCTATATATTTTCAAAAAATTTGAATTTTGATGTAAGAACAAACTTGTTCATTTATCTTTTGTGGTTTCTTAGCCAAATGTGTAGGCCAGTGATTTCCATTCAATCGTATAAAGTATGGACCAAATAGGTCACCCAAAAAAGAACGTAAAGTACGTTGCTGACACAGGGCGCACTTCCATCGAGTTGCTATCTTCACTTCATTACATTCAACCTTGTATGGTATAAAAAATAAAGTAGAAAACAAGGCAAAGGAGAAGTGGAACCTAAAATGAAACTCAAAAAATAAAGTCTAACCGACAAATGAATTAAAGTAAATAGTTGAATTGGCATAGTAAAATTCTTCTCAATAATTCTGCATGCCCATACAATATCAACCGATAAGTGGCAAGTAACGTTCCTGAAGTCCTGGCAATTGTGAAATAATTGATAAACGCATACTTACTTGATTTAAACGATTCAACAATGCTTCTTGACTCCTCTTCAATAAAACATCATGTTTCTCACCATTTTTCACTACCATTTGTTCTTCTATGAAAAAATAAGTTTTCTAATTGAAAAATTAGTTTGGCACCTTGCACATATGTTCTAGTTCTGTAAAAATTTCTCAAAAATTTCTTCGGAATAATCACCGATAAAATAACGTAATAATTATCTTCAACAAAACAAAAAAAAAACATTTCAAATGGATTCTTTAAATATAATCAGTAAACTTCTAATATCATCAATTGATATCCAGCGCACAGTAACTTTTCGATGAACCTTGGAGAGGCTGAGACGAAAGTTACTTCCTCATAGTAGGTGCCAATTAGTCCGTAAGATTAACTAGTTTGGAAGCAAATAATGTAAGACATATGATTCTAATATGATTATCTAGATGATATAATCATAGCTTGATAATATTTCTAATGTCATACAGAAAATCCGAGCCATTAAGACCACTGATAACCTAAACAACGAACCAATTAAACACGAATCACTCAAGATATAGTATCACTTCAGTGTTCAGAAAAGGCAGAATCATAGAAATGCTCACTTTTACTTAGCCTTAAGCATGGCATACCATCATCATTTGATCGTTGTGCTTTCACTTTAAATTTTGCATTTAGTCGGTTTTTGACGAGTTCATCTTCGATAGCTACTTCTCTCGCATTATGAACTTTCTTTCGCCTCACTTTCCTTCGTTTCTTAACTTTACTTCTACCCGCTACTTCTTTTGACATCTTCGTCGTCTGCAACAAAACATAAAAAAAGATTCGTTTAAGAAAATTCGTAATATTCAATAATTATGTTTACAGCCATAAGGCATTTGATGGAAGTTGGGTAAAGCATCTTATGGCGATATGATAAAAGTTCAGTATGCGTCCGGTCAAACCCGGATAATACGACAGTTAGCAATTTTTAAACGCTCATAAGGCCCTATGGTAAGACCGGATTCGACAACCAAATCATGGAATTATCCGAAATTCGAGCTGTTTTAGATGAAATGAACATCATCCACGTTGAAACTATAATGAGAATTGAGCTTTTGCCAAATGCGCCTAGATACACTATACCAAACAGAAGAGCAAGAATTTGAACAACTTTTATTGTAAAATCAATGCCACAAATTGCATACATCCGTAAAGTACAACTCTTAGATGTAAACATGAGTTATGGATCAAAAGATATGTACAGTAAATACAAATTACTGAAGCGAATATTTGACAAGATATTAAAAAATTGGGTAAATTGTTGATGTTACCCATATCCATAAAATACTTAACAAAGGATGCCAACAATACAAAATTTGTATACAAGATTTTCACTTATCCTTCATTAATTAAAAAACTGTAACAAATTTACATTTAAAAGAACTGCACCAAGTTGCGCTGTAAGGATTTAAAAATAAGAAATAAGATAACTGACGTTATTTATAATGTTGTTAAACGTCATCGAAATAACAAAAATAGTAACAATTTCTTTGAGTTACAAACATATTTTGTTTACAGTACATCTAATAAACGAAATCAATTAAATATTATCTTGACTCAAAACATTCGAATGGTTGAACAATTGTCTTTTTAATCACAGGTGCAGTCCAATTCATCAATGCTTTCAATACTGAAATTGGATGAACTTTCAACATCTGCTGTCATTTTCCGAACAACCTAAAAAAGGTTAAATAAGATATGTAGAATGAATCAATACAAGAATAAATCTATACAACTTATTTTCTATAAGTGTTAAATGCAAACAAAAAATAAGGGCAAATTTGCTTCTGTTTCCATATCCCAAAAGACATTACACTTTATTTAAAAGTTCTAAAGCGAGACATACAAGCAGAGCAAATCGGCAGATCTAAAGATTTGTTTATTTCGAAATGTTGCAAATAAATTATGTTTACTATGTCACATCCTTTGCAAGAAAAAATCTGCTCTTGATTGAAAAATTTCACTGAAAACTTCAAAAATATTTGTAATTTCGGCCGAGTTAGTTAATTTAAAGTATCAAAACTTTTTATATTCTGAAATATCTTCGTGAACGTGACATGAAAGACAATTTCTTGAGGAATAAACTGCATAAATGGACACAAACCTCCCGTAGCCTAATGCAAGTATCTGCTATGTTAGCTATATCTTCGGAACTCAAGTTTTCGATTATGCGAATGATGATTTCATCCAGAAGTGACAACAATCCCTTAGCTTCGCCCTGTACGATACTGCATCCATTTAACTCGCATTGAAATGTTGACATCTGTAATTGAGCGAAACTGGAATGCTGATCATATAAGTCTAAAATTCCTTTTCAACAAATGACTCATAACAGAAAATAACGCTTGTTTACTAAGAATTTTCACAAACCTAAAAATTTGTAAAACGAGTTTACATTTTATAGAAACTTCTACGTAATTGTTCTAATAAATGTTTTGAACCGAAACTCCTGCATTCAAATACTTAAAAAAGGATCTACATTACGCACAAATATGCTACAAGACTCGGGGAATTTGCTTGATGAAATGAAGAAGGAAAGTTTTTACCACTATTATTTCGATACATTTTCCAGCGAATTAAGAAGTTTGAATGGTCTGGCTGGCAAATTAATGCCTTTATAATTCACACTTTCATTGTTAAACAACTTTGCATCACTTCATGGGACATCAAAATTTTCTAAATCCCTCAATAATCGCAACATAATACACATCTTTTGCAAGCTAAAACTAATATATTAGTTTTATGGTTTGAGAGAGAAAAGATACTAGCCTTTGAAAAGGTGAAAATTTTTGCAGCCACTAATAATAAACTACTTCACGGATCTATTTATGGTTTTATTACAGAATTGTTAAATCAACCCCTTATATCACATCAAAAATACGCCTAACAGGTTCTAGCCCAGAATCCATCTCAACCTCCGCAACGAATTATGAATTACATTAAATTTGTGCGTAAGACAAGAATTTTCACAGCGTCTCACCGACTAATGACACAACAATCCCATCATTCTGCGACCAAGCGGGAAGCGAAAGACTCCGAGGGAGGTTCGTCGTGAGGCTTCTGTATCGTTGGACACGTTATTGTCATATCGATTGTGTTCGTAATGCAATCAATAAGTGTATACCATTATTTGGAATTATAAGAATTGGCTATGAGATGTTGATTTCTGCTTTTTCCTTTTATTTAATCCGTTAAATACTACTGGTATTTGGCATAGTAAAATTTATTGATAAAGTTTTTCAAAAAAAAGAAAAATCAATCAATGATTCTATTAATAAGTATATGAGGATAATAACGTAAGGCACCATTCATATAAAAGACTAAAATAATGGAACAATAGCGTACACCACAAAATAAAATATTGAAAAGTGAAAGACCTGAAAAGACCCAATGTGGCCATTTACTAATTTTTGGCAATTTCATTATTGAAACTTTAAAACAAAAACAAATAGACAAATAAAAAAAAGGGAAAAGTAAACAAACAAAATAAACAACACAAAATTTACGTGTAAAATTTACGTGAAAAATTATCGTGAAAAATTAACGTGAAAAATGATACAATAAATTGATACGAATAGAAGTATTTCAGGAAAAATTGTTTAAATTTTGAAAATAAAAATTATATAAAAGATTTTTTGAAGTTAAATGAGTAGAAAGTTTTACCGATTTGTCAACATTTTCATCGATATGATTTTTAGAACATAAAATAAACTTAGGTTAAAATTTTTTATGCTTAACAAATGTATTAAAATGGTGTCCTTATTGTAGTCAGTAGATAGTTATGTATAAAATTATCATTGATAAATTGAAGAGATAAAAGAAAAAAAGAGAGAAAATTGGCTTATCACAGAGGTAATGATATCGTAGAGGATAATAAAGATTGAACAGGAATCATTTATAAATCATTAACATCAATTAGAATACTGCAATTATATATTAATGCATTTCTAAGTAAATTATGCTATCCTTCCAATTTACATACATCTTTTAATCATTACCATAATTATCGTCTGACACGAGAGATGATATAATTATCATACCTATCATTTAATACAAGACAATATATGACTTGATGTGTTATGCTAATTTCACCTTTCAATATATTATATATAATTTAAAATAATTAGTTGCACTTCTTAAAATATATTTATCATAATAGATTAAATTTAATAAAAAGAGTGACAATAATAATATCGATAATAATGACAGATTAGAATTGAATCATAGGACGAAGAAAATATTTCAGCTGTCAATTTTATTAATTATTTAAAATAATTTTTTTTTGTTTTCTCTTATTTAAATTTTTCCGTTTTTTAAAGGCAAAAGGAGCTGGAGGATTAAAATTCATCACTTTTTCGACTATTACTAACTAATAATTGGAAAATTAATTATTTCTATTATTAATAAGTACGCAATTTTTATATTATATAACAGTGTTATTATTACTATTATTATTTGTACCCATTTCGTTTAAAGAATTTTCATTTCCATTTGCTATGACAGCTTCAATTGTTTCATCGATTGTATTCAACCTTATAAGTTGACTAGTATCATCATTTGATGACGATGTTTCAACCATTTTTGATAATGATTCTTCTGGTCTAATTCCCATTGCGGTATTATCATCCGATGAATTTATCACTGATAAGGAGAGCTGTTCACTAAAATTATTTGCTACATAGGCATTATGTATATATAATCGATGAAACATATATATATATATATATGTATACATATAGTCTTTTTTGGAATTAAAAAAAATGCAAACTTTTAAAATGTAAACAATTATTGTTTCAATTAATTAATTGGATAGAAAACTTTTTGAAATTTAAAAACTTTAAATCTAGAATTAAATTATAAATTTCGATAATTTAAAAAGCGAACCAATTATTGAAAGAAGAAACAATTCGAGAAGTTGAAGGTGTTACAACTGCTGTTGTTACCTCTGATATCTTTTTCATCGTATTACAATCAATGGTGGAAGAACTTGGATCATTATCGATGTCCATTGGTGATAATTTTGGTGTAACTTTGAGATACTGAAATTTCAATGGTTTGAAATGAAATCTTTTCATTTATTTTATTTTTGAGAAATTTCAAAAGTAAACAGAAAAGGCTGGAAATAATAATGAATTACGGATAATCATTTTTTATTTGAAATCATCTTACGTAATACAAAATAAATGAAATAATATGTTACTGACAACAAAACAATTGCATTTAAATCTGACAAACTTTTTTGGTTTGACCTCACATGAAATTAAAAAGATTTATTTAAACCATTCGTTTATTTAAACCAGTTGTTTATAGTTTTGAAACATATAGTTCATGTAATTACAGGTAACAACTATAGGTAATATTAAAAGAAAGATATTCACCAAGAATTTGTTTAAAAACAAATAAGTAAATGAAATTTTTAAAAAAGACAAAAGTTCTTTTTTAAGAAACCTGTAAATTTTTGGAACGCTTATTACGTGATAGATTTTCTAGGCGTAAATCAATCGCTTCCTTATATTTCAACTTATCAATACAACCATCTCTGAGATCATCATCTTGTAAGCCATGGCAAGTACTCAAATGTCGCTTCATATTGCCCTGTTAAGAACAAAAATATGAAAGAGGAAGTTATCAGTGTTGGATTCCTGATAAAATAATTTATTTCTGTCTTAACAACTTTATCTCTGTCAAATTATAGAAATAAAACTTTTAAAGTAGAAAATTAAATAACTATGGAAAATTTTATATTTGTAGCAATTATCATCGTAATGATAAAAAAATCAAAATGAAAATGATAAAGTGTTAAAATTTTAATAAAACCTCACACATAAAAAATAGAAAGCTCTAACTAAAATTTAAATCTTAATATAAAATTATAAACTAATATGAAAAAGTTCTCAGTTCAATAGTTATTTTCTTAGGGTATATATATATACTTATTTTTTAGATATATTGATATCCATACATTTGGTTATCTTAACTTCTAAAGTTACTTATACTTAAGTTTACTTCAAAATTAATTTTCTTATATATTATTGCAGATTTCATCCTAAGGAATGGAATCCCTAATATTTATTATTAATAATCGATACATCAATTTACTTAACTTAAATTTTTATCTTATTTTTTATAATTATTTTTTATCAAGTTTTTCTCATTTTTGTTATTTTTCCAGTTATTCTATCGGATATCCATCCATTTTCTGTATTTAACTATCATTTATTTATCATTGATAAATAAACCTTATAAATGGTTGCAAAATCACATAATGGACATCGGAATGGATCATCATTACTACGATCTTTTTTCATACTATACGATGATTTTGTTTTAATTATTGATTGTTGATCCGCTAAAATTCCACTACAATTATCCATCCATGGAGTAGTTTTTTCAGCCATCGATGTTTCTAATACATGTGGTTGATAATTATCCGAAAATGTCATCGTTTCATTATATCCAAGAAAAGTATCAGAAGTGAATTGTTTTAAGTTAACATCTAAAAATAAAAACAAAAGAAAAGAAAACCAATACCTTTTAATTTTGGAAGAAACAAAAGAATATTTTGTTAATTAAATTCAGTAAATTTCAGATTTGGAAGGAAAAAATATCAGATTTTTTTCTACGAATTGTAGTAACTTTATAAAAAAAATCCTTCCAACTATATATTCTCTTATTACAGGAAGATATTTTACAGCAAATGCTTCACTCAGGTAATTTTCTACAGAATTACCTTTTCTCCTCAATTTGCTACCACTACGTGTTGATTTCATACACTGATTCACGTGACGTCTAATATTACCCTATAAAATGTTACCAAATTTATTTCAGCAAATATATTTATAGAAGAATTTATGATTTTATTCTTCTTATTATTCTAATTATTCTTTATTACTATTATCATTATTGTTATCACCATTGTTATTATCATTATTATTATCATTATTATTGCTATTATTATCACTATTATTACTATCATTATTACTATTGCTATTATTATTACCATTATTATTATTAATTATTGATAATTATATTATTTATAAGACTTCGTACATTAATTAATAAATTTAAAAATATTAAGAATACAAAAATAATAATTTTCATCATTGAATGAATTTAAGAAGACAATCTAACCCAAAAATAATTGTTGTGTTATCTAATCAACAAAGGAAATATCTTCAATTTAATATTGAAGTATAATCCATATTTCTTTTTGTTAAGAAATTTGTTTATTTGGTGATAATCTGCTGGAAATGATGAAAAAGAAAACAGACAAAATTCTCACTTTATAATGACTAATAAAGCGATCACAATATGGACAAACCGGATCGACACCATTTGAATTGGTTATATTTCCTGGATCACATATTCGCATATTTTCGACAAAACCACCCATTTGGTCTAAATAATTCCGGCCTGTAATTGTCTAATATAATCGTACTCTTATTGATTTTAGATTTTAATAACAATAGTGTTACTACAGCTAAGGAATTTAATCCAAACGCTTTTGGTACAGAATGATCGATTTGGATGTTTGATTTCAGATCGGCAATTATTCAATGGGACTTGAAATAAATTAGGCCTAAATAGATCGCTAAAGAAGAAGAAAAAATTCTTAAGATAAAAATGTAAACATTATCGTTTTAAATTCTTTTCCTCTAATCAGCAGTAATTATTTTATCTAATTATAGCCAATTAAAGAAATGCATTCAATAATTACTCTAATGAAGGAAGACTTTTATTAGAAAGAATGAAAAGAAAGAAGAATGAAAAGAAAGAAGAAAGAAAAGAAATTCCCGAAATTTTGAATGAAATAGGAACAGGTCCTACGACTTATCAGTATTATCAGTATTCCATAAACAGTAGGATTATTATGGAATACTGATAATAAAAAAACTAAGTTTTACTCTTATCATTTAATCTTAAAATACCAAATGAAAGCATAAGCTTCTAACAAAATACATTGTTATCTCAATGATAAGAGGAAACTTCAAAAAAATACCAAATATTATGTGTAATATGCAAAAAAGAAAACCGATGATTTCTCGACATTTCTCATTACTCCTCTCTTCTTCTTTTTCGCAAACACAAAACAAATTTAAATGTATAATTAAAAAATTAAATGTATAATTTAAAAAAAGAATTGTTCATTGTTTTAATAAAATAATTTAGCTATTACAGAATAAAATATTTATATTATTGTTATTTTTTTGTATGACAATCTCTTCTTCTTTTTCGTTTCTCAGTCAAATTACACATTTACACACACCGATGATTTCTCGATATTTCTCATTACTCCCGATATGTCCGGTAAGTGATCTACGTAATGAGTAAACACCGCGACATGCCATACAAGTTATCTGCTTCCTTTTATATTTGTTAACTGTTTCACCAAAACTTATCAAAGATTTCCATTCCATCTTGGCCACTTCACTTTTTCTCCTTTCTCTTTCCCTTCTTAGCTATTTTTAATAAGTTAATAATTACATTAATATTTTAATAATTAATATTAATATTTTAATAATTAAAGTTGTAGTTTTATAAAAGTTAACAAAAATGTTGTAATTACGATGTTACGTTCAAATCTTTAAGTAAAAGCTTTTTTGTTGTCTTTTCTTTTTTCCCTTTCTCTCTCTCTCTCTCCCTTACACGTCAATATTTAAAGTTATAACTTAAGTTAAAAAAATTTATAAGTAAACGCACTTAATGAATATACATATTACAGTTCACATAAAATTATTATACAATTTTATGGAATCAATGTGAAATTATTAAATGAGGAATTTACTTAATGAATTGAAATGAAATGTATTTGAGAAGAATGTTTGGATGTAAGTAATTTGATATAAAATATCATGCAACCGTCTATGAAAATAATGGACAATTTAAATATGCATTTTATCATGAGAAACTTATAACAGAAACTTTTAATTATATTATTTAAAGGACCTGTTCCAGAAATGAAGAAAAAAGTTAGCAATTAACCTGTATGAACCGGAACATGAACCATTCTTTGATTGGAGTCGGAAAATCGAGGATGTGCCATTTGATTCAAATTTTCGACACATTTTTCTTGTTGACCATAATTTATACTTCTAACATCATTATTAATTGGTAATACAACAGCTTGTTGTAATTCTAATCGATTACCATTGATCATTCCTTGGCAATTTGTCGTGTAATTATTATCAGTTAGGCCCGCATTACGTGACTGATATCTGAAAGAGGAAACGAAAAAACATACATAAATTGAGGTGTGATTTCTTTCGTTTTACGGATACTATGAAAATCTCAAAAACTCTTAATTATTAATGGGAATTTAAATTTGGCATAAACTGTTTAATCGTAAGCATTGACTTTCCGAGATATATCAATAACGATAACGATTACCAACCTAATACTATTTGAGCAACCAGGAGCTGTTGTATGCACCGGATAACCAAAATTATGATTGTTTATACTCATTGGTACCTAAAATACAAAAAAAGAGTAGAAGAAGTAGTTGTTAAAATTAGGTTTAAGTAATAGAAATTTGTTTGCCAAATGTTGAAATTAATTCAGTTAATAAAACTTCGATTACAAAAATTGTTAAAATTAAGTCATTAGTAGAAATTTAATTAGTTTAATATTTATTTCCTTCATTTTAAAATCTTTCCATTATCAAATATATATGCATGAAAAAGTCTTCGTTACAAATAAAACTATTAATATAAATTAATATAAAACAAACATCTAAAGAGAAATACATAAACAATACTTACTATTTATGTTTATAAATAAACAATACTATAGTTACATTTATGAGAAAAAGTTATTTAGTTTTTTCTAATAACTTCGTGATTAATTAAAATTCTTATTTTACACTTTTTTATAGACACATTAAAAAATCTATAAAATTATTAGTACACTAAAAGACAAATATAGCGTACGTAAAAGTAAATAACATAATTCGAAAATACGTGAAAATTAAATGTAATTTAATAATTACTTCATTAGTAGTAAAATCATTTGCGCTATTTGAAAATAGTGTTTGTTCATTCCATACATTCCAGGATAGAGTGTTATCTGCCGAAAGCATTGCATACGTTGATGAGAATAATTCTGTCGTATCTTAAAATAAATTTTTTTTAAAAGAAATGAATGAATCATATTTACTTCAGAAAAACTTAATTAAAAAATTTCAAGGTAAAATTTAAATTAAAAAGGTACCAAACGAAACAAAGTTACGTTTAGTAATGATATACACGAAAAAATATTATTAAATTCAATGATTTTTCGAATTAATTTCATTTAAAATTAAAATTTCAATCAAAAATTATTGTTAAAAAATGCTTAATAATTAAAAAATAATAATTAAATTATTAAATAATTAAAAAAGAAAAAATATTCGATAGATTAAAATTTAAATTTAATTCTTAAAAAGAATTAAATATTATTTACAAAACTTTTATTCAAAAATTTCGACGAAAATTAAATTTGCTTTAGAAAACAAAAACAAAAACAAAAATTAAAACAAAAAGAAACATTTCGTTGAAAATTTTATTCTTTCATTTACCAAAACATCAATAAATCCCTAATTTATGAATTGTTTTTTACGAAAATTCGAACAATTTCCCCAGAAAATTAATAGCTATATTAAATGTAATTGCTGGATTTTATCCTCTTAACCGGAAAATAAAACAGCTGCTTAATTAAACTAATTTCAATTATTTTATCGACAAATTTATTTTTAATTAGGCCAAAAATAGTCGAGCTAAAATGGCTGATGCATAAAAATATGGAATAATTGCCGATTTAATATTTCAATAATATTTTGATAATCTATATATTCAAAGTAATAGATTATCAAGTATAAATTATTATGTATAATTTACTCGATTTAATAATTTGTCCTCAATTTCCACCTCGAAAATATAGTAAAAACATTCTTTACATTATTAATTCAAATTCAAAATAAATTTATCAGGCAAAAACTATTTCGGCTTTCTTTTACCTTTACGCCATTTAATAAGTTATCATTTAATTGAAATAGAAAATTTAAAAAAATAATTAACAAATTAATAATAATTTTTTTTAGTACTATACCATATTTATAGTATTATACGATATCGAATTAATTATTCATTCATTTTATTGCTAAAACTATAAAAATATTGTCAGTAATTAAAATCAATTAACCATTCAGATCGTTATTTGTGTCCAAAATTCCCAAATGATTTGATGTTATCGATGTTTGCATGCTATTATAACCAGCGGCCAATGACATATAATCGGCAGTAGACTAAAATGAAAAATTTTCCATTTATTTCGAAGAAGAAAAAAAACGATTGAAAAATTCTGATATAATTGCTAAATTTAAAATTAAATTAAAATTTTAAAAATCATTTAAAACAAAATGAAATTAATAGTATAATTATTATATAAATTAAAATGTGTGTAATTGAAGAATGTTCCAAATTTATTCTAATTTTTAATTACTAATAGTAAATTTTGATTATTCTATCCATTCCATTCCCAATAGATTTCAGAAGTAAAATCTTCCAAGTTTTATTTTTCCTATTTTTCTCTTTTCTTCAATTTTTTTTTAAATTGACTAATACAAGCTGATGGGTGGTGTATTTGATTGAATTTAACTAACTAATTTATCCTAAAATTAATATTACAATTCATTTCTCTATTAACCTAAAATGTTATATTTCCTTTTCCTTCCTTTTCTTCTTCTCTAAATGATGTAAATTCAATTGGAAGAAAGTCCAGCGACTTTTCTTTTTGCATAAATTTTGAAATGATAAAAAAGATTTTTGTAAAATAAAGGAATGATAACTTTAAAAGATAGAGAAAAAAATTTTAATAACCAAATTTTTATCGTCATTAGTCCTGAATTGATTATGTGATATTGTTGATACAGTCTCGCTTGATGATGGTGGTAATGATACGGTTTGTGATAATGGTTGTGGTAATGATAGTGATGATGATGATGATGCTACTGCTACTGCTATTGCTGCTGTTGCTGCTGTTACTGCTGATGATGATGATGGTGGTAGCTGTGGTTGTGATTGTTGTAGTGATGGTGGTGGTAATGGTGGTGGTGGTGGTGGTGGTAATATTATCGTTGAATTTTCATAATTACGATTATTTATAGGATATGTTGAACAATACTCATAATCACTGGATGTATTACCCGAACCAACACTATTTGTCGTTGATAAAAGTTGTCGTAACATTTGATAATAATTCGTAATTATTCCCAATAATATTTACTGAAATTAAACAAAAAATTTTTTTTAATTATTTCAATTATAAAATATATCAATGAATCAATACGCTGAATCATAGCCATTATTGGTACTGAATATTATATTTTCCAATATATAATTGCATTAATGTAATTATAATTATGATAATATAGTAATCAATGATAACATCAATTGATCAATTATACAAATATTATAAAAAGAATAATGCTGAAATTTACATATATGTACATATTAAAAAAAAGTGAAAAGTTAAAAAGGAAAATGAAACATAAAATCTTGTATGGTTGAGGGAAATGGATTTAATATTATTCACAGTGAATGTAATATACGACAATGATAATAATCGAATCAATGATCACGAATAAGTATAAAACAATAATGATTTTTAACTTCTCACAAAATATGAAACACTGTAATGTGTGAAGATATGAGACAGCAACAGCGATATAGGTCTTTAGTTTAAAATTAAAATAAATTATAAGTGATTGGAAATTAAGACATGCAAAACGCATTGATACATGCAATAAGATCAAATTCGTGAAAAGATGGAATATGTAATAAAATAATAATATTATATTTATTATTATGTTATAGATTAAGTATTTGTAAATTCTGATTGAAAATATCTGATCAATCATATAAAGGAGTGAATTTTATAAAGCTAAAGATTTTAGATAACGTTAATGAAATAAGGAAAAAGATAAAAGGATTGATAAAAATAATAATTAATAAAGCAAGCAATAGTAATGATAATAATAAATATAATAATTAATAAAATAATAATAATAAATAAATAATAGATAACAACAAAAAATAATAAACAATAATAATACATAATAAATAATAATAGTAATTAATAATAATAATTAATAATAATTAATAGTAACAATTAATAATAACAATAATTTATAATAATAATTAACAATAATAATTAATAATAATAATTAATAATAATAATAATTAACAATAATAAAACTAATAATAATATAATAATAATAATAATAATAAATGGTAGGAATAGAGGGAAAAAATTCCGAAATCGGGGGAATAAATTATAAAGTTATGTAGAGTCAACAAGCTACCACCGTTTGTCAATTGCTGTTTTCGAAACTCATTTCAAAATTATGAACGCGTATAAAATGAACAGTTGAAAACATTTGGTAATACTAATCAAAACAATTCCATGATAGTGATAATGTACTAATCATTTCAAGATAGTATTTTATATCAGTAATAACAGAGCTAAGTTAGTATGTTCAGTGATACTCTTTTATGGTATTAGTATTAACAGTAAATATTTACGGCTTTTATACGGTAGCAACGGTTTTAGCATAGTTTATAGTATTATTCTTTACACTGATAATAACAGCAACTATTTCTTTTTGTTATTTTAAAGCTAAAAAAAATTGGTCGATATTTGAAGAGAAGACATAATAACGATAATGTGATAACGTTATCATCATTGATTATAATGATAACTAATGTGAATAGCTTACAAAATTCATGACTTTGAAAAATTATATAATTAACTTTGCTGATTATTATCGATTGTCTGCCCATAATATCAAGAGAAATTAATCTCCCTGTTATCATTGATAAAATCTTTAGTTTTAACATCATTTATATTCTTATTAGCAACATATCGGTACTATTACTAATAAGTAAATTTAATTATCTAATATTTATTTCTTAGTAGAAATCATTATTAACTTCTGATCATATATTTTTCTTTTCGTATAAAGTAAATCCTCTTTAATTCTATTACCATTATTATTACTATTATTGTTATCATTATCATTATTATCATTATTATATCCGATATATTAGATTATTATTCATTTATTATAAGGAAAGAATAATAATCAAAATAAATAAAAATATTATATCTTATTTCTGGTTAACAATTTAATGTTTTATTTACCTTTTCAACTCTTAAATTTCATATCATTCTAATCGTTAATAGGTTAATGTTTACATTATATGCATATAAAAGAATTTGAAACATTTCATACCATATAAGTTAAGATTAAGAGTGAATTCAAAAGAAGTTAAAGAAATTAGGGTATGTCGTGGTAGTGGTAGTGGTAGTGGTAGTGGTAGTTGAAGTAAACGGCAACGGCATTAGTAGTACTGTCAGCTGTGATGATGGATGTTGAAAGAGGAGGCCATCTCCAATCGTTATACATACATACATACACATACACATATATCTATCTGAACGCTTCACTACACGTACACTATATGTAATGTATGTACGTGTGTGCGTGTGTGTGTATGTATGTGTGTATGCGTGTATGTGATGTGTATGGTGTATGCGTATAAGCATATGAATGTATGATCCATATTACAAAATAATATAAATGTAAGCAGTAAATATATAATTGTAGACAGATTACGCTACGTTTACGTTTCTACGTTTTAGTTTGAAGGCAATTCCAAGCAGCTAAGTATAGCAGTATAGTACTGTAGTAGTGTAGCAGTAACAGTAGCAATAGTGGTAATAGTAGTTTAGTAGTAGCAGTAGTAATAATAGTCGAGAACAATGACGCTCGATGTAACAATTTCCAAAACTGTTGCGGTGAAATACACCCTCCCATCTCTTCTAACAAAACCGCTGAACTAATTTATTTGTTATAGAGGGGGAGAGAGGGGAATAATCGCGAAAGAGGGCATAGTTGTGGGTGGTGCAACGATATTCGTTGATTTATTGGCATTCGATGCAAAATCCGTTATATTAATAATAGCAACAACAACAACAGCAACAATTATAACAATAGCAACGATAATCACAATAATAATAAATAATAATATGTAATAATAATAATAATAATAATAATGGTAATATTAACAATAATAACAGTAATAATAATAACAATGGTAATAATAATAATAATAACAGTAAAAATAGTAATGTTAACAATAGTACCAACGGCAATAATGATGATGATGATAATGATAACATTAATACAGCAAACAGTGCTTTTTTAAAGTTGACTGTTTCCTCTCAATCGATTAAGCTTCCCGAATAATTCATTGTTTCATCATTTCTGATCATTTAATCTTAATTATTTTAATTATTATTAGCATTTCGTATAGCGATAATGATAATAACTAATGCAAATCAAATTTTATTCAAATATTAATAAATTACGAAAATTGTTAATAATTATCATTTGTATTACTATTATCCATTACTACTTTTATTACTATTACTAATATTATCGCTATGATATATTAATGATGACAATGATGACACCGGCGGTCATGACCATATGAGGACATCGACCGCGACCAGTAAACGATACTACTAACGCTCAACATTCACAACCGGTCCATTTCTTCTTAACTTTTGCAATAAACACTAAAAGTGCTCTTTTCCCCCTCACCCTCTCTCCCTTCCTCATCTTCCCCTCTGTCCACCCCTATCATTCTCTTCCCTAAAATGGCATTGAATTTCAGTGTATAAATAGAAAATGGAATATTTTTACAAAATGATGTGATATTTTGAGAGAGAGAAAAAAAGAAATCTTTGTCCTTATGTAAGTGAAATTACATAATGATTGTAAGTGAATGCGCAATTGTCCAATATGAACAATACCGCTTATTTTGAATAGTTATTCATTTCATTTCTTTTGATTATTTTCATTACCTTTCATTACCTATTCATGGTTGATATTATGTTTTGTTGCACAAATATTTCATTATTTGATCTTTTTCATTGAGAGATTTAAATTTACATTTAACTTAATATGCAAATTTTGTGCATCTTTTTATCTCAGATACGACAACCACCAATTGAAAAGAACGAGCCGTCTATTATCTGATTGTTAATTGGTACTAATTGTATTCTTTTCCAGGTTCACATAAATTTATTAAAAATCCATGACAATTAATACTCATAGCATCAAACTTAAAAATAACTTCAAGACAAAAGAAATTTTTGAATTTGAAACAAAACTCGGGAAAATGTAAATCCGCTCTTCATGCATATCCAGCAAATTTAATCATTGAGTAAAATTTGAAATAAAAAACATGGAATACCTGAAATGGAATAACAGTAATAAATACATAAAAAAGTGTAATATGCACATCGTCATATTCATGAGAATTTATATTTAAAATTCAAAATCGATTAACAAATCTTGAATTAAATTGGAAATGCCATAGTGAAAAGCCGTGGAATAAAATAACCTGTTGCAAAAATAATAAATTGAACGATTTAGCGTTAGTGCAGCACAAGTTTGGAACTGATTATCAGCCTGTTTAAATTTCAGAGGGTAGAGTTATTTCCACCTGAAGCAAGTTATAATCGCCATTTTACCAAAGACAAAAAGAGAAAAAAACAATAAAAACATGATTAAACAATGTAAAATATTCCGAAAAGTTAAGAACCAGTTTAGTGCACGGCAACAAGAAATGTAATTTAGCACAAAAAATGAGAGCCTCGAAAATATAGAATTTCAACTAATGCCATGAGAGGCATGACAATCGTTCCCAAATACAACTTTACTGGACTTTTGGAATATTTTCAAAGTTCATTCATCCTACCTCGTCCCTCCTTCCCTGTAAACTTGCCCTTCCGAATCGTCAATTATCTTATTTTTGCTGTAACAATTGTAATCAAACGAAAAAAGACAACATACTGTGTCCTCATTTCAATCAGAAAACAGATTGCAACATTGATATCTCGAACAAAATGTTTCTAAGCGAATAACACGAACACGAAACTCGTCCAGTCATCAGTAAAATAAATCAACATATAAAAACAGTAAAGCACTTTAACAGTAAAAGCACATCAAGGAACATATTTTATTTCGTTTTCTTTCCATAGAAAAACTGCAATAGTAGCATCAACAACAACAACAATCGCTCCAAAAAAATTTCCAAAGAAAAATTTTTCGCAAATCATAATTTTTCAGTACAGATAACTGCGGTACTTAGTGTTAAATGACCCATAATGCCGCCCTGCGCAATGATAGATCAATCTTATAGGCACTATGTGGATAAGAAAAAGTTAGACATAGGCAAACTCGGTGAAAGTATAAGCCACATTTGAAGAAAAGATAAATAATTGCAAGATGGTTCGAAAGGTCTAACCAAATAGCAAATTAATCCAGAAAATGACTGCATAAATTTTGATTATTATTTTAGTTTACACGACTATTTAAGAGCTTAGCAATTCTGATTCAATCAATTATCGGTACTCGAAATTCATGATTTTTGATTCACAGTTGTCATCTTATATCAAATAAGACAATAGAACTTATATGCAAAAAATTATAAATAAGCTTTAAGTTATCATTGGGCGACCTTCCTTTCCTTCTAAAAAAAATTAAAAAAAGAAATATGATCCATCGTAAACTATTCAAGCTCGAGATCATCACTGATTTCAATAGCATTCGCCGCCCTAACAACTGTTGGAATTTCACCATCTTCTGCTCCAGCATGTGAACGCTCAGCTTGCCCCAATTGATTACCGAACATTCGCATAAGACGCTGCATATATTTTAGAAGTTAATAAATTTAGAAAAGAAGACAAAAGCAGTTTAATTTATACTCTATTTCTTGACCATGGTCTTGAAACTGTTCGTTTTCTCCCACTTTTTAAATTTCCATAACTGCTATTCTAAATAATTGTTTGGCTACTGCTGACTCAGAAATACAGATAAGATATTACTAAAGCAACAAATTTTTTTGAAGTTTTCAATCTACCCTATTGATATTGACGGGAAGCACTGATACTGAAGAAAAATATGCCAGGACTTTATGAGAAAGATAAAGAAATACCGTAGCAGAAATAATCCTTTTTAAGCACATATAATACATAACTAGTACTCCATAATCAAAAAAGACATTGAAACTTAATTCATTTGAATTTGAAAGCGCAATAATTGAAATGGTAGAATAGTTAAACCTTACAATTTTAGCATCCGGTAACTTCTGAAGCAAAATGGTGAAATGTTCGTTTGGTAATGTTTGCTGGAAAATTTGTATCAACTGTGCCGGCTGACCACAGAGAGTTATTGCATTACACAGATGTTCAATACCCGCATCAGTGTGTCCTTAAATTGAAAATATAAAATGTAAATATACCAGATATAAGATAATCAACCACTCATCTTGTTTGTTTGGAAGTTTAGCAGAGCAAATTTAATCAAAAGATACAGGAAAAGGTTCCCACCCTCTAAACTTCTAAACAACATCTCGAGCTTATGAACAACCTCATATTTATTAGTAATATAGTAATAACAGGATGAATGGAAGTTTAGTAAGAAACTCAAATAGATGGACTTCAACGCAGTTTAGGTGCAATCTGACATGTACCGCTGATTCATTTCTGATAATATCAAATTTGAAGAGAGAAGAACGTACCGTCTGCTAAGAGTTCTTCACCCAACTGCACTTCTTGCAAGAAAAATGCTTGCATTTCAGTGACATTTTGTGGATTCGGTAAATTTGTCGGCTGTTTATTCTTCGCGGAAGCGCGACGTACTGGAATACATAAGAGCATTGAATTACTTTGTTAAAGCAGTAACCCATTCACTTACACTAACAACTTCATCAAAAATACTTTCTCAGTTAAATCTGGACATAAGTTAGGTGCAAGAATACTGATTTATGCTTGACATGTCGAATTATGAGAAATTCGGATTCAGTAGCGAAACAGCCGATACATTATTTTACATTCTAGTCCCACAAAATATGCTAAGGAAAATAGTCAGTTTGCCAAAAGAAAATTTTAAACTATTTTGTATTTTAAATACAATTACTAACCAAGCATTCTTGTGTTTTCCCTAGCTCAAACTCGCTAAATCAAATCATTCTATAATTGAAAAACGCTTCGTTCAGATTGTGCGAAAAGAAAAATAGTCACATTATGCCTTAAAAATCTAACTTAGACACACATAAGGTAAAATATCAAAACGTCTTTCAAATTTCAACAACTGCGCCACCATAAAGTGGAAAATTTCTTTTTTCTCGAAGTAGTACGAAAAGCAACTAAACTACCACCAAAGAAAAAATTTTTGAGAATGAACACTTACGTTCACGTATTTTCTGCTTATAGTCAGGTGCTGAACGCCTTTTATGATCGAAATAAATGCAGTAACCAATAAATGCAGCGGCAGCAATACCAGCTGCTGTGACAATTTGCTGTCGCGAGAAGATAACCGATAGGAATGAATCGTTTCCCATCTTTATTTCGAAAAAATGAACCAAAAATGTAAAATAACAATGATGACCGGAAAATAACAATGACGATATGGGATAAAATCCCAGAAGTAAATGATTAAGATATTTCGTTGTTGCTTGAAAATTTTCAAAAAAATTTGATGTGCTTCCGGAAGGATTAAATGTTAAATACTTCATTTTCGTTTACTTAAAACATTTCCGGAAAAAGTTAGCATACTTCTCAAAGAATCGAATTTAATTATACAATGTCAGCTACAAAATATACAAAACATTAAAACAGTTGAAAATTTCTAGAATTCTAAGAATTTGCTTAAGCTACGAAAACACAGTCTAACTTTATAAGAAAAAACTCACTCCACACAACAAGCCCAAAACACCCTTTGAATCCCTAAAACATCAATATTCTCAAGTTAAGGCCGGTTCGTGTTTTACCATTTACCAGTTCCGGCCGTAAATTTCAAAAAAATTGCCTTACGTAATAAAAGGAAAAGCTGATGAATAAGTGGGGTTTTAAAACAAAGTTTTTCATTCTGCTTTATGACAGATTCTTTTTTTAAAAGAAAAGATTTAATAGTTTTAGCTATATGAAATATCGCAATGTAAATTACAAGCATAAAATTAAATTTAGGTATTAATTTTTAAATAATATCTGAATATGATTGTCGACTGTTACGCATATTTTTATCACTCTATTTCTGTGCCTTTTTCTGTAAGAAAACATAAGAAGTAACATTGATAATAAATGATTGAGATGAAGAAAGCAATTTTTGTTCGAAATATTATTTGCATTTGCATGCAATATTATGACAGCTGCTTCTTCAAATCTTCAGGTCTTCTACTTCAAGCATTGCCGTATGCAAAATATGATGGATAAGATTTTCGATCATAAAGATTCAGAATACCGGGATTTACCAATTGAACTTAAGGATTGATCTTTTGACTAGGATTCATGATGCTAGAATCTTCCAATTACGATTAAGTGTATAATTTTTCTTTGGCTGTTTTTTGCAGATTATGATAAATGTTTCAGGGTGCACCGATTAAGTTAACTGCTACTCAAAATATCTGGTTTTGCTCTGATTGATTTTGTGATACGTTTAAAGTTTCTGGAATTTCATCATTCCTTCAAATATTACGACAATGATCTTGTCTTCTTATTATTGGAATAATGATTTAACTAACAATTAATCGTAATACAAGTAATTATATTGGTAGCCGTGAGATCTAAAGGTATGTTTGAATTAAATTTTTTAAATTGAAGGCAACTTAGTTGCAAAACAATTCATAACAAAATATAATACCAAATATGGTATTTTTAATTCACCAAAGGGAAAAACATAAAACTAACCAAAATTATATCAAAAATATGAAACAAGATTTATATATTCTATGGGAATGCTTCTTAATCTATGAAAAAGTTAATGCTATGTGGAAAAAAATCATGGATGATTATTGCTACAGTACTTAACAATTAAATCAAACAATTAAATAATATATAAAACAATAAAGTCTAATTTAGTTTTTAAATTCTAATTTAGTTTTTTAAAAAAAAAATTCTAATTCCAATAAATTCTAATTTAGTTTTTTTAAATATTGAATAATTAAATAACATATTAAACAGTTAATTAGAAAATTGATAATAAATAATCAGTTGATAAATAGATATATGTACTTAAATAAGAAGAGAAGAAAACATAGGCCTGGAAAAAAGAAAAATAAAGTATTAAAATGACTGATAATAAACTAAATTAGAATTCGATTTTGAGAAACTATTTCGATTAATTTCTCGTAAAATATTTACAATATCTCATTTCTTACTTTTTTTTCAAATATCAGTTGATAACATTTGTAGTATTTATGGTTCTATTAGATATCATAATTATTCGTAATGTAGCATTATCTTCTCGTCAGAGACATAATATGTAAATTAATGATACTGTCGCATATATCATTGCATCATTGGAAAAGCTGAATTTATTATAGCGAAAGAAATAATTAAAACAATATGATTATAATTTAATGTACTCTAATTGTAACATGTTGAAATTGTTACACTATAATTGAACAAATACTGAAATAGCATTGAATTGTTGGAATTTTCTTTTTTTCAACTAAAAATTTTCTACAAGTTTGAATTTTTAACATATTCAATAAAATGATAATTATGATAGATTGAGGAGAAATAAATTACAATTAATCTGTCAACAATGAATTATGTCGATCAATAAAATAGGTAATTAAAAGTAATTTTGTTGAAAAAAGTTTAAAAAAGTGTTTAAAATTATTTATTATTGTTTTTCAAATAATTTATTATACTTTCTTTTAATGGATAAAATTATTTGTTGACGAATGAATTTTATCCTTTGTTTTATCATTTGTGAAATTAATTTTAATTGTTTTTATTTTTTTTATCAATTCCGATTTCTTTTTCAAATATAGGATAAATTTCAAATTTTTTGTTTTGTTTTGTTTTGCTTTCACTTTTATTTTTATTAATTCATGTTTATGATATTTTTAACTGATCTTTTCTTCTCATTTCTTTTCCATTGAAAAATATTGCACTTCTCAAGTACCACTATTCATATCCATATACATCAAATTAAGTTTATGAAATTTAAATGCAAAAATTAAGTTAAATTATTAGTACAATTTATTAAACATTAAATTGTTAGTGCAATTAATTAGACATTATTTATTCATATTTTAGCCATAGAATTTCAAGAACTATTGTTCATTTATTAATTATTATTTCGAGGAAATTATAATCGAATATTATTGCAACGAAGTCATTTATAAACAATGATAATACATATATCTAATTCATAACAAAAAATAAAATTATTTGATGTCGATAGAGATAGTTTATTCTTCTAATATGCAATTCAACACTATTCCTCTAATATGCTTTTATTCAACATATCTACCAATTTCTTCAATTGAAGAAATGTTATTAATTAAAAACTATTAGGCATATGTCATACATTGCTTAATCAAAATTGTAACAATTTTTTTAAAACGTGGAAAAGATAAGAAATAAATAATAAATATTTTTATACAAATAAATAAATATAGTTGAGCAGGTAATGTAAACAAATTTGAAATGGATTTTTTTCTCTTTTGTAAACAACACAAAATAAAAACAATACCAAAAATAATTTGTAACAATACAAAAGATATGTATATATATTGATATTATACATCAAAGAAGAAAATGAAATTTAAAAAAATTTAGAGGCACATTTTAGGAAATAATTAAATAATTTTAAGATGCAATAGAAAATGAAAAATTGAGCAGAATGGAAGAAGAAATAGTAATAATTTCAATTTTCTGCTTTACGACGAATATTTTAAATGAAAATTAATAATTGGCAACTATTATTTTATGCTATAATTAATCAAACATTGAGAAAATACAATACATTTTTAAATTTTATCAATTTTAATATTTAATTTCTTCCATTTCAAATTAAGCAAAATCAAAACGCATTGGGCATTATTATAAAATGAAATGAAATAAAATTAATTAATTCATCCTAAATTCTTTTTTGATTTTCAAATGGGAATTATTTTTTGATGTATCAATGCCGACCGCTGCCTTTTTGCATTTTAAAATGTTGAAAGTTCATAGATTGTAAATAAATTTTCCCTGGAATATAAAGAGAAAGAATGAGAGAGAGAGAGAGAGAAAGAAGAGAAATAAACGAAAAAAAGGAAATCAAACATCCCTGAAGAATGCCACTTTAAAGTATTAAAAGGAAAATATAAAGTTTCTTTAAAAAAAAGTGAAATGTAAAAAATTTTTAAAGTTTTAAAAAGTATATAAATATATAGGTATATATACGTATGTATTCACATATTTAAAACTAATAAATTTTGATATATAAAGAAAAATTTTAGCAATTAAACTTCTTTATATTACCATTATATAATATAAAATAAATAAATGATAATAATTAACAGTATGGATGTCTAATTAGAGAAATGTTAATTCGCTGAATTTTAAAAGAAAATATATCGCTCATTTTTTCTTCTTTTTCGCTTACAAATATATATTGGCAAATCTTCTAATTATTGCTTATTTTCAATTTTCTTCATAAATACTCCATCATTTTCTCTTCTTTTCAGGAAAATTCGATCCGTTCTGTTTCCTGATAACGGAAACACATATGAAAAGCACGAATCAGTAAAACTAAACCAGATACCGCTATCATTGCAACTGAAAAAAATAAAAGATAATGAAATGATAGTTATATTAATAGTTATGATAGTTATATTAAGCGAATTGTTTTTTCATAAATTTAAGAGATAGAAGATAACGAATAAAGTTAATTATTCTTATTTGAGTGTTAGAAAAAATTTTTGATAGTAAATTTAAGAAAATTTAAGTCAAATTTCAGAATTTAAATTTGCTGAAAAATTTTATTCAAAATGTTTGATTATTTATTCTTTTGAAAAAAAGCAAACAAAATAATTAAAATAATTAAAACACTTTAATCAAATAATTAAAATAGCACTTGAATAGGATAAAATAAATTAATAAAATAATTCGAATTTTGTGAAATGCAAGAAGAAATGAGAATTTTATCCATTTCAGGTGTTTTTTTGAATATTTAAAAACAAAATTTAATTATTTTGTATAATTTATTAATGAGTTTATCTGTTCTATAAATATATGTTTCATAATTAATCATAAAAATTTATAATATTTACTAATATAAATTTAAATGTATGGAAAAAGAAAACTAACGAAGAATGAAATAGCCCATCGAGCAATCAGTAAGCATTTTCGCTGCTAAACCAAAAGTTAAACTGATAATTAAAAATAGGAAGCCAAACATGATAAATGAATATGCTCGTATTCGTATCTGTATAAAATAGATATTTAAAATAAAAGAAATAATAAATAAAATAATTAATTAAAAAAAATTTTTTTAGTAATTAAGATTCATTTAAATAGCTAATTTAATAATTTATAAATTTTAGATCAAAATTTTGTGCAATTATTCAAAATTATTTAAGAATTTAAAAATTTATTTGTTTATTTATTAATTTAATGTTTATTAATTAATTTATTAATAATCGCATTCATTCAGCCAAAATATTTTATCAAACATACATAGCGACCAATAGAAATTGCAGAATGACAAAATGGACATTGCACTATACCAGCTGGTCTGTAGTACTGAAATAAAGTAAAAAAAAATCAATAATTCATTTTCGGTTTTTAAATTTGTTAAATAATATTTATCCAAATCATATTTCTTATAGGAAGGGAATGTGGAAGATAAGTTAAGAAATAGAATTTTTTTTTGATTGATTAAAAATGATGGATAATTGACCTATTAACTATTTTGATTAATAATTTCAAATTTATTTTAAATGAATCACTAAATGTTGTCCAACGCGTAATCTAAATAAATGCATTAAGAAGTCGATCCATACAGTTCAATATTAAATATAACGGAAATATTAGTTGTACAAATGAATCGAAGAAATTTAGGAAATAAAAATAGTACTCGAAATAATTCAGGAAACGTAATTAGCATCGTATTAATGAATCAAATATATTCAGGAAATTATAGTTGATCAGTGTTAACACAAGAAAAGCGGAGTAGAATGAAAAATAAACTTACCAAAAATCTTCCGTCACATTTTGGACAAGCATATGTTGGACCGGGGATATCTTTTGGATAAGCAACTTTGAGTAGTGGTGGACCTTTAAATGCATACCGTTAACAAGATGTTCAAAAATTCAAATAATTGAATATTTAAAATTTTAACTTCAACAACTATACGTATCATAAAAATGTAAGTAACAAGAAATATAAGAATTTCAAATACTTTTTTTGAAGTAAAATGTTAGTGCTTAATTTTGCTTGCTTTGTGTTATAGATAAGGAGTTGAAACATTATCCTGAACTGGTAATATAATATGGGGTCAGAGGTCAGAAATTATTTCTTTGAAAAGTGTTCGATCATATTTCAAACAGTTTAAAAGCTATTTCATCCTATTAAACTAACATATCAACTATATTAACTAAATATTACTGGGATAAAAATAATAAGATTTTAATTTATTAATAAATTCAATTTCAATGGATTGCATAATATAAATAAATCATAGCATAGTTATAAGTTCAATCGACAAAATATTTATGTTTTCTCCTAATTACTTCTTAAATGATTGTAAGCCAATAAATTTCAGCACAAATTTTTTTCCTTAAATTGAAAAATAAACAAAAAAAGAGAACTAAACAAACCAGCTGGATACGGTGGATAGCCATCAAAATATAATGGCGATATAGATGGCCAATCTTGTTCTCGTAGACTATTTGGTGGTAAGCATGGATTAGTAAGTGAATATGCTGGCGGTGGCCCATTCATTAATTCCGTTGAAAATACTTCTATAATATATTTATTACAAGCATTATCATTTTTTATTATAAGCATTATTATTATTATTTATTATTATCATTTATCATTATTATCATTTATTATTACTTATTATTATTCATTGTTACTATTTATTATTATTATTTATTACCATTAATTATTATTATTTATTAATATTATTTATTATTACAATTAATCATTCATTATTTTAAATAATTTCGCTTTTTAATACTTCTGCAAATTCACCATTTATTACAAAGTAAATATTTTGTCTTTTTATTATCATTATTATTTATTTTATTTTTATCATTATTATTATCATTATTCTAACCCTTCTTTTCACTGAATGATATTTCGCTTTTATAAAAATATTCATAATATTTTATATATCCGTCAAAACATTTATATGTTATTATTATGTATGTTTTGAAATGAACAAAATGAATTCTTCAAATTTAAGAAAATGAAAATTCCATATGATATTATTTTATACATTCAAAAATTTGTCGAAGAAATGAATGTTAATTTTGAAATGAAACAATCATAAAAAGAAAGCAAAAAATTCTGTGAATTTATTTGTCCTTTAAATTTCTCTTTTACAATTCAAAACAAATTCTCTTTTTTTCATAAATAATATCGAATAATTAAAAATTGAAATTTTGAAATGCAAAAAAATCTTGAAAAAAAAAGAATTATGCATATAAATTTTGAAAAAAATTTATATGCATAATTTGCACGCATAAATAATATTTTAATAATATTGGAAAACTTAATTTTATTTCAAATAAATATGAATATATTGGAAATGAAAGGAAAGAGTTTAATTTTATTCGAAATATTAATACATTGGAAATGAAAGAAAAGAATTTAATTTTATTCGTAATATGAATATATTGGAAATGAAAAAAGAAATGATATTTTTACTTACCTAATATGCATTTTTCATCCATTCCTTTTAGTGTTTCATTTTCATCATTGCTATCTTCTTTTATTTGTTTAGTATTTTCAGCTGCTAATAAATTCATCGTTGTTGTTGCCTCAATTGGTGGATGTTCATTGATTTCATTCTGTCGATGAACAACAAGAATATCTTCCATATTTTGATTACTATTATCACTTTCGTTATCATTAATACTTATCATAATTCCATCGGATAGCATTATCATTAGCAATAATAGATTAATGAAAATAAAATTATCGTTTGATCGAATACTATAATGATAATAGTTGGAATACAGTAGCACAGTTATCCGAAAATTTCAATAAATAATAGCAATAAAAGTTAAACATATAAGATAACAGTGTATTTATTGTTTTGCAAAACTTTTTGATTGTTTGTGAAATATATTTGCTTCAAATTCGTCAATCTAAAAAGAAATATATACCAAAAAAATATATTATATTATCAAAATTAATTCGAATAATTATTAAATTAACAAAAAAATTGCAGAAGAATAATTCAAACTTAATTATGCTTACTATGCTATGATAGATAAAGTAACTATAATTTGAAATATTAAAAATAGAAAAGTAAAATTATAAGTAATGAAAATACTTGACGTTTAAAAAAAATTGTAATTCTGCAAAAAATATTAATGCTTTAATTGTATACATTTAAAATTTATATTTTACTGTTTGCAATTGAAAATGCAAAAATGCATATTGCAATTTTAGAAGAAAGAAGAAAAGACTTAAAAGCATTAAATTTTATGACGGTAAAACAAGTTCAAAGGTTATGAAGATAAAAAAGAAAGTTTTTGATGAATTTTTAAGAAAGGAAATTCAGCATTCTTCTTTCTTTTGTTTCTTCCATCATTGCTTTCTCAAACCGGTATTTTTAACTCTTTCCTTCTTGTTCCCATTTCCGTTCCATCATTATTCTTATAATAATCACCGGACCGATGATTTCAATCATGTAATAATCAATCCTCTTGCAAAAATTATTAATTTCATTTAACATTATTAATGTTGCAGAAATCGCAATAACATTGATAACAATAATATCAATAACAACAATAATTAGGCTATCATTATTATCACCACAAAGAACAATGACACCAATAATGAAAATAAAAGATGAAATTTCTCAAATTTCCATTGAAAATATCGGCATTCTTCAATGCATACTTATATAAAAAATGCATTCTTTCAAATTTTATAAATTTTCATTTCAAAGCAAAAAAGGTGTCAATTTTAATTTATATGATATAAGTATGATAGTAAAAGAAAGAAAGGGAAGAAGAGAAAGGTATGAAAGAAGAAAGTAAGAAATGCTACTCTTTCCATTTTCTAAAACATAAATTTTCTTTCAATGCTAAATTATTTAATCGAAAAGAGGGAAAAATCAAAAAAATGGTTGATGGATGAAATGAATTTTTTAAATTGAAAAGATCAAAGAATTTATTTTCTTATATTTTATTTGAATAAAGAAGAAAGGGAAATTATATATATATGTATATGAATAAATACATGACAAACAACGAATAACGATAATGAATAAAATGAATTGTTTAGAAGAAATGCAAAGATTCTTCAAAGTAACACGTAACACGTAATACGTATTCAAAGATTCATTTCAGGTAATGAAATGAAATGAAATGTTAAAGAAAAATGCAAAGATTCTCATGTAACACGTATTCAAGGGTTCAATTCAGGAAATGAAATGTTAAGGAAAAATGCAAAGATTCTCTAAAGTACGTAACACGTAATGTACGTAACACGTAATACGTATTCAGGGATTCACTTCAGGAAATGAAATGAAATGAAATGTTAAGGAAAAATGCAAAGATTCTTCAAAGTAACACGTAACACGTACTCATCGATTCATTTTAGGAAATGATATGTAAGATTATTTTTGAATAAAAGTGATAGCATTTCAAAGATTTTCAAAGATTTTCAAATATTTTGATAATTTGGAAACTTTGTGTTGAAATTACAACGAGAAGTTGAAAAGCTTAGTTGTAATTGCTAAAGTTAAAAAAAAAGAGTATTTTGTAGGGTAAACATAAGTTTGATTATCAAAGTCAATGATAATAAGGCATTATTGGTTGTTAATAAAAATGTTAGTAACATTTTCGTTTTCATCTGTCATCAATTCTCAAAATTCTTTACTTTAAAAGAAAAATTCTTTCCCGACGAATAGTTTTTATTTGCATGAGAAAAATATTTTCTATTTTTTTGCTCGTGATTTTGTTACTAATATTTCTATCTTCGCTGAATGCATAAATTATCCTATCTTTATTTATCTAAGGCTAAAACGTTTGAAATTAGGAATAATAATTAATTAAAGTGAAATTTTAGTAATTTTCTTTTAAAGTAAATTAGCATTATTAGCATGGTTACAACAGCCTTTTGCCAATCTAACCGCATAATATTTTGATGATTTCAAATTCTAAGATATCAAATATAAAATTATCAAATTCTGATATATCAAATATAAAATTAAGTTTCCTTTCAGTAATATTTTGTAATTTTAGGCAGCATATAAGTGAGAAAAAAGGTGGAAAAATTAATAAATGATCAAAAAAAATTTTTGTATTTTAAATAGGAAATGATGAAAATAGCTGAAATTCATCAACAAAATGATTGTTTACTTTTAAATTATTGGTAATAATGTATTTTCGGGTTATTATAAAATTTATTAATTAAAAACTGGATCTTCCTCATATCCGTTTTAGGAGCATAACCAATTCCAAACAAAATATTATTAATAATATTGACGAAGAATGATTTGGTTGATATCTTAATAGGTAAATTAACGAACAAAATATTATCATCAACAACATTTTAGGAATTTTTTATTAAAGTAATCTTTCAATGAGATAGGAATGTTACAATAGTGTACTATCCAATAATGAAAGTGTTTAATTATTATAGAGTAATTCATAAATGAGAGAGATCTATGGATTATAATGAAAGGATAAGAAAGAAATGAAATGAGAAATCCTGTTTATCATTAAATTTCTTTTGTTTAGAGGAAGTGAATCCAGTTTTAAATTAATGGAATTTATAAAACCACAAACATATAATTTGAAAGTGCAAATATTGCCAACCATTATCAAATATTATCAGAGCATTATCAGAGTATTATCAGAGTATTATCAGAGTTTTCGAGAAAAGACTTTTCTCTTAAAAGTAGAAGAATTTTAAGGATCACTGACCAAAAGAAGAAAAGAAAAATGTTACTGATATTTTTATTAAGCATAATACCTAATTATCATTGATTTCAATGATCAAACTTATGCTTACCTTACAAAATACTCTTCTTTTCTAATCTTATCAATCACATCTAAACTTATCAAATGCCCTTTGAAATTTCAATGCTAATACCCTACAAAATACTCTTTGTTCTAATCTTATCAGTTACATCTAAAAACTTATCAAATGTCCTTTGAAATTTCAACTTAAACGTTTACAAATTTTTACAATATTTGATGCTATTATTTATATTTAAAAATACTTAATACATACCATTCAGGAAGTGAATCCTTGAATACGTACGTGATTACGTGTTACTTTGAAGAATCTTTGATTTGTTGCAAAACTGTTGCATAAATTTGAATTCAGGAATTTCTGATAATTTCAACCATTCATTTGAAAGTTAACTGAAAACTTTTCTGAAACTTTCATCAGACATTTCTCAACAATAATTCAATTGAAAAATAACATCGAAGAAATTGCAACCAATAACATTTCCATTTAAAAGCTAAAATATTTTCCTTCATTTTTGCAAACGAAAAATGAAAATTTGCAAAAAATAAATTTACAAAAAAATAATCCATCGAAACTATACTACGAATTTCTATAACAATGTTATAAACCCTGCAGATGCGATATATGGAATGGGGTAAAGGTCACGCTGTTGTAGCAATTCTTCACTATTAATAATATACAGTATTATTATATCCCTAACTGGAAAACTAATGCACACATATTTATAGCAAACACATATATATATCTGTACAGAGAGATTGATACATACTTAGACAGACGGAGACAGACAGATAGACAAAGAAATACGCACACAAATACATACACAGAAATGATCTGATAAAATAAAGTAGCAGAGGATGCATGCATACCAATGTTATCTTAATCGGTATATATGTGCGTGCATATGCATACCACAGAGTATATATGTATTTCTGATCTTCACAATTATTGATCTTTTACCCTAATCAGTTATCAAATTTATTTCGCCATTATATTATCAGTTATTTCGTCATCATCGCTATCATCTTGATTAATTTGTTATAATCATCGATTATTATTAAAATTAATAATTATTATCACGATTAATTATCATTATTAAATCATTTAACATTGAAATTATCATTAATTGAAATTATCATTGTTGTTAGGATTTACTGAATAATTTAAATCAAAACACATTAATAAAATAGTATGAAAGTTTCATTTAAAAAGATAAGAAAGAAATGAAATCTTTTATTTATTTTATTTTTCAAAATAAAATTAAAAAAAAATGATCCCAGAAATATAGATATCACAAAAATTTAAGAAGTCAATAATCAATGCATATCATATATTATGATAAGATAATAATTAATGATAATAATAATGATAATATATTGACAAATATGCTAATAAAGTGATCAATGAACGGTTTCTTCTTGTTGTCTTTTGTTTTATTAATATTGCAATAAATATGTAAATATTATTAAATGAGTTAAATAGGGAGGTGGTAAAAAGAGATAAAAATGGAGTGATACGTAAAAATAAATTACTGTTGTATTAAAATAAAGTTGAAAATATTGAATGATAAGAGAAAGAAAAAAAGAAAGAAGAGAATGATAAAATGATGACAAATGAGTGAGTGACATTAATTGAATGAAAAAGAAAAAAAGAATTTAAAAATTAGGACTTTTTAGGAATTCAATTGTTAACCGAAATTTCAACAAAAAAGAAATGAAATGGTTGTTGTAAAGAAAATATTTTAAGAAAAGAAAGAAAGAAAAATGAAATAAATGATAAAAGATAAAAATGCAAGAAATCAGTAAGATTGATAACAAATTAGAATTAAATATTATCAAATTAAGTAATTCAATTCTCATTCTCTCTCTCTCCTTCTCTCCCCCTC